GTCGAATTCAACTGAACATATATATATGTACACCAAGACAATACAGCAAACCACAGAGATGCGCTAGCGAACAATTCATCAGGTACAAATGCAGTAAATCCAGATAGTTTTGTCAAATCAGCAGACGTCACCCTAGAAATGACCCATCATTCAAGCTGTTCCCTGTAACAGTCTTAATCTAGGTGGATTTGTACGCAGATCACCCTGATGAGTTCAGGCAGCTCGCTGTAGTTCAACCTCTGAACCGTAGATGGATGATTCTGATAGTTGTGCTGGTTTATCCTGCTTTTCCTGATGCTCAAGACATCTCGTTCTGCAATCCCAAAAGCTCACAGCAGCAATGACAACAACAGCGAGGAATGTGAGCAGAACTAAAGCTGAAAACTAATAAAACACACACACACACAATAAGATTATAAATATGATATATATAAAGTTGACAAAAAAAGTTGTACAGTAGACTCACTCTTGAGTAGAAAATTATTTTTTCGGTCAGTTCCAGCAGTTCTGTTCCGTTCACTTTGCCGTCCCTTACTCCAGTGGGTTTGCACCATTTAATCTGGAGCTCTTCATCCAAGATGTAATCTCCTTCCCAGTGCGCCACGCCACACGCAACATATTCACCCTCAAACAGCAACAGAAACATCCACAATGCAGATGGAATCAGACTAAATAAAAATATCCCAGCACAATGAGAAGACGAACGTCTGCAGGGTCTTTGGATGAACATCATCATAGTCAGAGCTAGAAGAGCAGGTCCAAGAAAGATGAAACTTATCAGCGCCATGTTGAACCCAGGGTTACATGGGCATGAAAATTCCCGATCCATCAACTTCTCCAGACCAATCAATGCAAAGCTAAAATGCAGTGCACTAAAAGAAGCTGTATTTCTTTCTGGTTTATTGGAATTGTTCGAAAACAACTCAAGAAACACCATCTTTCTTGGACAACAAGAAACCGGCTTACTTCAGACCCACTAAAGGACTGAGACCTTTTAAATAGAATAGATCATCTATATCTGTTCACGGAACAATGTGTAACAGCGAATCTCATATACAGCAACTCAGGATCTTTATTATTAACTATTTACATGTTCATTAATTATAAACTATGAGACAAGGAACATTGAAAAAGAACAATGGAAACCATTCATGCGAACGGGAGTCAACTTCATTCTTTTAGATTGGGAGTCATTCAAAAACGCTCCATTGAACTAAATTCAATGACATTCATCAGAACTAAATTAGATCGTGTTTGTCCAACAAAATTAAAACAAACAGCATTATCCCATATCATGGTACATGACAGCATACAGCATATATGTACACTCAATCTTATAGTGCTGCTTTGTTGGGTTATTGGAACAAAAAAAAAGACAAGGTAAAATGTTGGTCTCTCTCTCTCTCTCTCTTTCTCTCTCTCTCTTGTGGAGTGCATGCTGGGAGTGAGTGGGGCGTTGTGAGTGAGCATGAGTGGCGACTCTCGTGCTTGAGTTTAGTTTTTTTTTCCGTAGTTTAAGCACAGTTTGGGGTTTTGTTTTGTAGGGGGGTGGGGTTTTGGGCGTTTGGGAAGCATGGTGGGTGCAGGTGCGCGGGATTTGAGTTCAGTCACACGTCGTCACGGTGTAAAAGTGGACTCTACAGTGAGTGTGGAGAGTTGCTGTTTAGCTCTGGGGGAAATTGTGGGACACACAATTGTATTGTCTGCCTCTAGGATGAACAGCGCTATTGTTATCTTTTTGAGTACAATAGAAAAAACCAATGAGTTAGTTCAGAGGGGAATCATACTTGACGCCGTTCTCACTCCCATTCTACCACATTCATTACCATCAAAAAGAGTCACTTTTGACTCGTATTACTAAATTAGCAATTTGGGGTACTAAGAAAAATAAAGTGGAAGAAAAAGGGGGTTGAAACAGATCTTGTTCTTATGGCTAATTTTTTTGTTAAAAGAAGACTAACTTTTTAATATGCTTTTTATAATCTCACAAATAATGTGATGTATTTTTATCATTTCTGGGGAGCTGATGGTTGTTTATGTGAACCTGATGTTTTTGGATGTTTTAAAGTAAATATCTTTTTAGATGGGTTCAAACTTAAGTAAATATTTATATTGATTTTGTGCTTGGAAAATTGTAAAATTTTTGTGGAATGGTTGTATTTAAATAATTTGTAATGGAAAATTAAAGGACCTTCTGAAGTCTTTATCTCTCTCTCTCTCTCTCTCTAAAGAGAATTAAGAAAATTAATCTGTTTATTCTCTTTTTGAAAAAGCAACAAGTGGGTGTGTACTGATGGTGGAGGTGGGGCTGAGCTCTACATCATCCTGTCCTTGGTCACTTGCTTCACCATTTCTCTCTATTCCTCTGCAGAATAACAACAGTCGACTTGGGCAGTGATCACATAATACAGCAGTCATAAATACCCACGACGGCAAGCAGCAAGGCACTAAAGACAGTGAACATAACCTGCATACTGAAAGATGAAGAACAAAAAAACAATAGTTGGATGTATGTTGTGTTTTTTGTACGTCAGATGTAATTCATGCTACTTACCTGAGACTGATGAATATATCTGCGGATCAAATCTCGTAGCTCGGTCTCATTTCACATCCCTTCGATAGGTTTACACCATGACTTGTTTAACTCAAAATCATGAACATAAACTCCCTTCCATTCTGTTATGGCACAAGCAACATAATCACCATCAAGTAACAACATGAAGATCCACATTACAGATTGAATCAGGCGAGATATGAGCGCTTTAGGACAGTTCTGTGAGTACCATCATATGTTTCTTCAGGGCAATGAAACCATCCATATCTAAGAGGCCTTAAAATGTGGAACATTATAACCAAGGCAAAAAGCAGGTCCAATGAAGATGGACACTGTTAGTGTTGTATTCTGATCAGATCTACACCGGCATGTGAAGTTACAATTCATCACAGTCAGAAATCCAAATAACAAAATGCTCAGTGTAACAGAGCAGAAGGCAACAAACGTTTACAGGATTTCTGTAGCAATGACATCATCTGAAATAATTTGGGCTGCTTCTGTCTCATATAGTCTGTAGTGCCGTTCACAAGTTCTTTATATTCTGGACAGATTCACTTTATTGAAGAAGATAGTTATTATTCATATCAGCAGAATGAATTAATATGTCTTGAACATATCAATGGTGCAAGGAACATTTAGCACAACAATAATGAATATGGTGAATCTACAGTAGAGTTGTATATCTGTGTATTTAAAAGATCTGTATAGGTTAATAGACTTCAAATGTTCTCTCTTTTCTTTTTCTTTTCTCATCTTATTTGTAGCCAAGATGAAATCGTGTCTGACAATTAAAAACCTTGAAAAGGCAATACATGCTTTGACCTCCTCAAGTCTTTCCCTTTCTTTTGCAAGAAAGAAATTCAGAATTCTCAGTTTATATATCGCAATTATGACTTTCTTTCTCGCAATTATGACATAAAAAGTCACATAATGTTTTTAATTCGTGTTAGAAACAACTCAGAAGTTCAGACAAAAAGTCAGAATGGCAGGATGGAAACTCAGAATTGAAAAATGTAAACTTGGAATTGCGAGAAAGTAAGTCAGAATTCTGAGTACATTTTTTTTCTGATTATTTTTCTTGCAATTCTGAGAAGAAAAGTCTAAATTGTAAGGGAAAGAACCCTGTAAACATAGGACACAATGTACAATGTATTAAAATGAAAATAAATAAATAAATAAATAAACTGGATTACTGCACTGTCGTCTGTGTCAGTTTTTTTCCCCCCTTTTTTTTTGTTGTTGCTGCTTTCACCCTGACATCATCATATTATTCTTCCAACTTTCACTTTCCTTCAATATCTTCGTTTATTGTTATTATTGACATTACCTCAAAATATTTGTCATGACTTATGGCCTGTAATGTACGATAGTTTAATGATTAATTTCAACAAAATGTGAACTCTCACCACCCTCATGCTAACTTGACTACCTCAGAGAGCATAAAAAAAAAACATTACAAGTCAAGCCAATAGCTGTTGTGCATTAATAAGGACAAAATCGACTTGTTGATTATTTGCCTTTTCTTGAATCATGCCATAAAATCATAAATGACAGCCTACCTGCAACTAGTTTGAACTCACTTCGATGTTTGCAACTACCAGAGTCTGCACAGAGCTCTATGTGTACCATGTGTTCTTTTTTTTTTTCCATTTGTAAAATAGAAAACCACACATTCTTTTCACCACACTCCTCTTTTCTTCATGGAACATTTGGCAGCAGACATATAATACGATTAAAGCTATTCCTGCATGCGCAATAGTGTTGGTCTTTTTTTTTTTTCCGCCAATCAGCTGTGATAGAAGACGAGGCCAGGTGTTTGGCTAATTCTATGTCACTTTGAATGGAAAACATTTAACATGTAAACTTTACATACATCAATGTAAAGTTTGGAATTTTGAAGTTTTATGATTTAGACAATTGTCAATAAACAAAATGGAGAGACCAGTATTGTTGCTTTACAAGCCACTTTTTTTTTTCCTTTCTTAGACACTTTGCTCCTACCATTTTCTTTGCCAGAGAGCTGAGCATTAATATTGATCAATAATCAAATAATGCTTTTACCCCTAATTAGTTATTATGCTTATGTTATATGCCCTCACTATGCCAAATCCAGCTCCAGTTTTAACGTATTGGTGAATGAAGCACCTGCTTCCTAAGACTTCAGAGAAGTTTTTAGCCTCTAAGCTAATCACTAGAGTGCTTAAGTTTTCACACCCCTTGCTAAATCCTATAGGTTCTGCACATGCTTTGGCTTTCCAATATTTTTTTGTGCTTTTGAGCTATTCCTTAGTGGCTTTATGTTGAGACAGAGGGGACTCGTATTACATAAGTTGCAAACATTCAGTCATGATTAAGAATGGAACATAACACTTTTTTTTTGTAATAAACTTTTGTAAATCTTTAATAAAGTAATAATTAATGAGTTACATGATTTGAAAATGCATCATACTAACAGATTTGTTTCAGGAGCAAACTGTTGCTGGTTACTTCCAGGTGAGTGTTTGTTTGTGTCAGTGTAAAAATATGTGCTTTGATTAACCACATTTTAACTTTTGTGGTTACCGAAATGCTGATTGAAAACATTGTGGAAATGTTACTTAATATAAAAAAATAAAACATAAACACTTCCCTATAGCCTACACGAGGCTACTTGTTTAATGTCCGCCATCAGTTTCAAGATGACTGGACTTGTAGAAACGAGTTGATTAGTGTGATTTTAAACAGTGAAGTGAAGATCAATCACTGAATTAAATCAGTATAGACACTTTATTGATCTCTATAGAACAATTTGTCTTTACAACATGATTGATATCTTACACATTACATATTCACACATCATATCATCTATGTATAGAGTGACAGCATGTCCTCATTTTGTGGCTTTTCTTCACTCCGGCAGACATCACAAGCTACAATGACTATAATACCAAAGCTGAAGACAAGGAGCAGACCATATCCCCAATTCTGAAATGAATAAATGAGCCAATCAAAACAATAAGATCAGGACCAATGGCGTTAGACAGTGTTCACTTCGCAGATGCTTTTATTCAGTGACATCACTTATTACGGGGACACTGACTGAAGCAATAGGGTTCAATTGCATTCTCATTCATAGCTATTCACAGATATGCACACACAAATTACAATATGTATATA